TGAGATCCCTTTTGGATAATTAAGTTAAGCTTCCTTATGTTAATATAAACCCTAAACCATTAAGTTCTATTTTGTTTTGCTAAGTAACGATGTTTTTGGCTTATTAGGTTGACTACAGTCAAATTTTCAAGTCTTCGTGAATCACAACTCAAACGAGAAATTGGTCTAGCTACTGATGTCTAAATATGACAACATCTCGTCCCTGTTTGACACATTCTATAAAAATACATTTTTTCAAAACTCATTTTCAATCACACATTTTTCAATAGAATAATATTTTCTATCGCATCAATAATTTTTCCTTACTTTTTAATTACATATTTCTCATCATATTCCTATTTAAAAATACATTATTTTCTCAATAATACAAATCAAACACACCCCTCTTAAAGCTTATTTTGACAAGTTTTATCAACTTTTTATCCACAATGTTAATTTATTTATTCATTTTATCCAAATCTGCTAAAAATTTGGTTTTTAACAAAACTAAACATAGGTTTAGCCCTATTTGGTTAAGCTAAAAAGTTGAATTAAAATTTAAATTGAAGTCAACAATTAATTTTAATTATACATTTTATGTGATTCTACAACTTTTTAATTAGGTATTTCATCAATTTTATCAAAATTTCTTAAAAATCAAATTTTTATCTAAACCAAATGTTTCAAGGATTTTGTTACTTGTGTATAAAAAATGTACATAATGGATATAATATAGGCTTGTTTTGTTTTTTTAACATTAATGGATTTTGTTTTGTTTTGTTTTGTACATAATGTTATTGGAAAAGCAATTTTTACCAAAACAATTCTTAGTTTACCTTCATTTAATTATCAATAACTAGTAGGAAATTATCTTTGGAAATAGTAAAGAAATATAGGTATTTTAGTAAACAAACAAAACAAAATATTCTTCATAAAAAAACGAGACTATATAATTGGGATAAGAAAATAAGGAAAGTAAGCCTATATAAATGGGACAGAATGAGCATATAATATGATGTAGAGGAAAACGATTGGATAGAAAAGTTGATTGTATTTTAAACTGAGAAATGGTAAAATATCATGTAACATTCTGTAAGTCTTGATATTCATGTAGCAAGATTAATATTTCAATCCCTTTTTTTAAGATTCAACAACATTGAATCAATCCGGGGCTTAGATTTCAAATACTATGTTAAATTGCATTAATTCAACGGTGGGCCGTTGTTGGCTCTCTTTTAAAAGGCGGGTATAGGCTGGTCCATATGGGCAACAGACCTGATAACCTGCCCACTAATTTTGGGTTTAGTCACGACACTTCTCATGCCTAGGGGTGGGCGCGGGTCGGTTCGGTTCGATTTTTTTCGGTTCCAGAAACTTTCGGGTATTTAGTAAATGGAACCGTCGGTTCCAAATATAATTTTGGAACCGTTCGGTTCGGTTCTGTTCGGTTCCGTACTATAATTAAATTTTTTAACATTTAAAATAATACTACATAAATACACCTGAAAGTAGATACTAATATTAATAACAAAAAATAGATACAAATACAAAGTTCAATC